ATTGAAAATACATTATAAACTGAATGTACTCTGGTGGGAAAGTGAATGGGTCATCAAACCTTCCTCCTCTCTTCTCTCTGTGGTCAGACACAATGGCATAAAGTGTCCTAACCCAAAGAGATAAAAGGATGTCCTCTCTCTCCCCTCAGACAAACAGAACGACATGGACATGCCGTCTGTGACGCCCAAGGAGAAGGCTGGTCGGGAGAGGAAGAAGCAGCAGCAGCTGATGACTCTGATCAGCGGGGTGAAGAAGGTCTCTCATGGACCCTCCCTCTCCAACTCCTCCATCTCACGCTTCGGGGTCAAGACGGACAAGGAGGACATGCTCTCCAAGGAACTGGAGGATCTGAATAAGTGGGGTCTGAACATCTTTACTGTGTCAGAGTACTCCGAACATAGACCTCTCACCTGTATCATGTACGCCATCTTCCAGGTAGGTTATAACTGGCTATACACTCCTACACACACATACACACATGCGCGCCTGCATGCACATATATGCATGCAATGCAGACACACACACACACAAACAAACACACACAATATGGTATAGCTGTACATTGTGTACCTATAACAGTACTAACTCATATCCTTGTGTCCCCTGTAGGAGAGAGACCTGCTGAAAACGTTTAAGATCCCGACAGATACGTTTGTGGCGTATATGATGACCCTGGAGGACCACTACCATGGAGACGTGGCCTACCACAACAGCCTCCATCGCTGCAGACGTGGCCCAGTCCACACACATCCTGCTCTCCACACCAGCCCTCGACGTAAGTTACCTAACCCCTAACCCCACACCAGCCCTCGACGTAAGTTACCTAACCTCTAACCCCCACACTAGCCATCGATGTAAGTTACCTAACCCCTAACCCCCACACCAGCCCTCGACGTAAGTTACCTAACCCTAACCCCACACCAGCCCTCGACGTAAGTTACCTAACCCCTAACCCCCACACCAGCCCTCAACGTAAGTTACCTAACCCCTAACCCCACACCAGCCCTCGACGTAAGTTACCTAACCTCTAACCCCCACACTAGCCATCGATGTAAGTTACCTAACCCCTAACCCCCACACCAGCCCTCAACGTAAGTTACCTAACCCCTAACCCCCACACCAGCCCTCAACGTAAGTTACCCAAACCCCTTTAAACCCCCCACCAGCCCTCGACTAAGTTACCTAACCCCTAACCCCAAAACCAAACCCTCCGTAAGTTTACCAACCCTAACCCCACACCAGCCCTAACGAGTTAAACCCCTAAACCCCCCCCCAGCCCTCAACGTAAGTTACCTAACCCCTAAACCCACACACCAGCCCTCGACGTAAGTTACCAACCCCTAACCCCCACACCAGCCCTCGACGTAAGTTACCTAACCCCTAACCCCCACACCAGCCCTGACGTAAGTTACCAACCCTAACCCCCAACACACAGCCCTCGACGTAAGTTACCTAACCCCTAACCCCCACACTAGCCATCGATGTAAGTTACCTAACCCCTAACCCTAGCCCCAGTCCACACACATCCTACTCGTTACACCAGCCCTCGACGTAAGTGGCTGACACTAGACTTTCTTCACACATCCCTCAAACTCAGAGCCCCACACCCTGCCATTACCTCACCCTTATCCCACACCCATCTGAGCTCATAGAACTCCACCTTAGTGCACTGTCCTTACTCTCACCCCAACCTTTAGACATAAACCAAAACTTATCCTCCATTCTTCCCTCTCTCCTTGCCCCACTCCCTCCCTCACTCCCTCCCTCCCTCCATTCTGTTTGTTCTCACAGCTCCATTCTCTCTTTGGTTCTATGGGGGAAAAAAAGTATTTAGTCAGCCACCAATTGCGCAAGTTCTCCCACTTAAAAAGATGAGAGAGGCCTGTAATTTGCATCATAGGTACACGTCAACTATGACAGACAAATTGAGATTTTTTTTCTCCAGAAAATCACATTGTAGGATTTTTAATGAATTTATTTGCAAATTATGGTGGAAAATAAGTATTTGGTCACCTACAAACAAGCAAGATTTCTGGCTCTCACAGACCTGTAACTTCTTCTTTAAGAGGCTCCTCTGTCCTCCACTCGTTACCTGTATTAATGGCACCTGTTTGAACTTGTTATCAGTATAAAAGACACCTGTCCACAACCTCAAACAGTCACACTCCAAACTCCACTATGGCCAAGACCAAAGAGCTGTCAAAGGACACCAGAAACAAAATTGTAGACCTGCACCAGGCTGGGAAGACTGAATCTGCAATAGGTAAGCAGCTTGGTTTGAAGAAATCAACTGTGGGAGCAATTATTAGGAAATGGAAGACATACAAGACCACTGATAATCTCACTCGATCTGGGGCTCCACGCAAGATCTCACCCCGTGGGGTCAAAATGATCACAAGAACGGTGAGCAAAAATCCCAGAACCACACGGGGGGACCTAGTGAATGACCTGCAGAGAGCTGGGACCAAAGTAACAAAGCCTACCATCAGTAACACACTACGCCGCCAGGGACTCAAATCCTGCAGTGCAGACGTGTCCCCCTGCTTAAGCCAGTACATGTCCAGGCCCGTCTGAAGTTTGCTAGAGTGCATTTGGATGATCCAGAAGAGGATTGGGAGAATGTCATATGGTCAGATGAAACCAAAATATAACTTTTTGGTAAAAACTCAACTCGTCGTGTTTGGAGGACAAAGAATGCTGAGTTGCATCCAAAGAACACCATACCTACTGTGAAGCATGGGGGTGGAAACATCATGCTTTGGGGCTGTTTTTCTGCAAAGGGACCAGGACGACTGATCCGTGTAAAGGAAAGAATGAATGGGGCCATGTATCGTGAGATTTTGAGTGAAAACCTCCTTCCATCAGCAAGGGCATTGAAGATGAAACGTGGCTGGGTCTTTCAGCATGACAATGATCCCAAACACACCGCCCGGGCAACGAAGGAGTGGCTTCGTAAGAAGCATTTCAAGGTCCTGGAGTGGCCTAGCCAGTCTCCAGATCTCAACCCCATAGAAAATCTTTGGAGGGAGTTGAAAGTCCGTGTTGCCCAGCGACATCACTGCTCTAGAGGAGATCTGCATGGAGGAATGGGCCAAAATACCAGCAACAGTGTGTGAAAACCTTGTGAAGACTTAGAGAAAAACGTTTGACCTGTGTCATTGCCAACAAAGGGTTTATAAACAAAGTATTGAGAAAACTTTGTTATTGACCAAATACTTATTTTCCACCATAATTTGCAAATAAATTCATAAAAAAATCCTACAATGTGATTTTTCGGATTTCTTATGATGAAAATTACAGGCCTCTCTCATCTTTTTAAGTGGGAGAACTTGCACAATTGGTGGCTGACTAAATACTTTTTTCCCCCACTGTATACAGTGGAACCTCATCCATGACGCAGTGTAACAGCATGACCTAGCCTCAGCACGTACCACACCCCCGACATCATCAACCTCACTCCAGCGTCCACGCACCTCATGGCTCCACACCCCACCCATCCACCGCCCTCAGCCCCCAGCCCCCCACCATCCACCTCCACCCCATACGACCTCCAGCCACACCCAGCACATCCCCCAGTCCCCCCAGCCCTCCAGCCCCCCAGCCCCATCCCTGCCAACCCCCCATCCCGCCAGTACCCCAGCCCCCAGCCCCCAGTCCCCATCCCCCATCCCCCATCCCTCCAGCCCACCCCCACCCCACCGCATCCCTCCAGACCCAGCCGCAAGCCAACCCCATCCACCAATCCCTCCAGCCGCCATCCACCACAACCTCCCCAATCCCCCATCCACATGCCCATCCAAACCATCCTCCATCCCCAGCCATCCCTCAATCCCCCATCCCCCACCTCATCGCATCCCCATGCAACAAATCCCTCATCCCAGACACCCCAAAAATCCCTCCATCCCTCCATCCCCAGCAACCAAGCCCCAACACACCCACCCAGCCACCGACCGCACACTCCATGCCCCCCCAGAAGATCCGCCATCCCTCCACCATCATCCATCCACCCTCCATCCCCCATCCCCCCATCACTCCATCCCCCCATCCCTCCATCCCCTCCATCACTCCATCCACCCATCCCTCCATCCCTCCATCCCTCCATCCCTCCATCCATCATGTTTATAGCCCTGCTCTTACAGCCAGCGGTCCCAGTGTCAAACCGCTATGTATGGGTGCCTATAGAGAGACAGAGAGTAGGTTAGCATAAGATAGTCATTTTGCTAATGTAAGCCAGCACTCATCTGGCTCTGACTAGTGTTTACATTATGTTGGCTGTTAGCGAAAACCGAGACATGGGAATCAATGGGAGTGGGCTGCACTGGGATTAGCTGTTCCGTGTGGCTGTTCTGTTCTTTGACTGTTTCTCTTGAGAAATTCTTAACCCTGGACCCTCTCTCTCTCACACAGGCGGTCTTCAGCGATCTAGAGATCCTGGCGGCCATCTTTGCTGCAGCAATCCATGATGTGGACCACCCGGGGGTGTCCAACCAGTTCCTCATCAATACCAGTGAGTCTTTCTCTTACACCTGTTACTGTTATGGGAATAATGTATAGAATAGATATATTATCTATATTATCTATAGCTACTGTATAGAGATCCATATTCATCAACTGTGTTGAACAAGTGACTGATTCATTGTCTGTTGTCTCCCTCAGACTCTGAGCTGGCCCTGATGTACAACGATGAGTCTGTTTTAGAGAACCACCACCTGGCTGTGGGCTTCAAGCTGCTGCAGGAGGACAACTGTGACATCTTCCAGAGCCTGACCAAGAAGCAGAGGCAGAGCCTAAGGAAGATGGTCATCGAAATGGTCCTGGCCACTGACATGTCCAAACATATGAGTCTGTTAGCTGACCTGAAGACCATGGTGGAGACCAAAAAGGTGACCAGCTCTGGGGTCCTGCTTCTGGACAACTACACCGACAGAATACAGGTGGGTTCATCATCATCCCTCTCTCTCTCTCTCTCCCTCTCTTCATTTTAATAGATGTAACTGGTGTCTAGACTTACAGAGACATCGTTTAGATTGCCTCCCATTGCTATGACCTCTGCTCCTTCACTCCATCTTCCTCTGCCTCCTCCGGCTCTCCTTCTTCAACCCTGTTCATTGATTCTCTATCCATCTTTCTTCATCTCTCTTTCTCTCCTATCACTCCATATCTCTCTCGCCTTCTACTTCTCCCTCTCTAATGGTTATTCTCTCCCTCCCTCTCTCCATCAGGTGCTGAGGAACATGGTTCACTGTGCTGACCTGAGTAACCCTACCAAGTCTCTGGAGCTGTACCGTCAGTGGACTGACCGCATCATGGATGAGTTCTTCCACCAGGGAGACAGGGAGAGGGAGAGAGGCATGGAGATCAGCCCTATGTGTGACAAACACACCGCCTCAGTAGAAAAAAGCCAGGTATGATACTGGACATACAGAGACACACATATACACACACACACATATGCATAGCATGCAAGCATACACACACACACACACTCCGACTCCTGTCTCACCACTGTTCCCTTTCCCTCCCTCTCTCCAGGTGGGTTTCATAGACTACATCGTCCACCCTCTGTGGGAGACGTGGGCTGACCTGGTGCACCCTGACGCTCAGGATATCCTGGACACTCTGGAGGACAACAGGAACTGGTACCAGAGCATGATCCCCCAGAGCCCCTCTCCTCCCTGGGCCACTGAGCAGCGTGAGCAGGGTGGAGGCGAAGGGGGCCAGGGGGGAGACAAGTTCCAGTTTGAACTCACCCTGGAGGAGGAGGACTCTGAGGGTACAGAGAAGGATGAACAGAGCCAGGGGGATGAGGAGGAGGAGGAAGAGGATAGTCTGGGGGAGGCGTCTCGGTCTCCGGTTGACTACTTTGACTGTCAGGACCCAGAGGAATCTATGGAGCCCACATCGTCCATAGCGATAATTACCCACAATGCGTCACCCACAGACACTTAATGGGCTCTGCTGCACCGCAATGGTGGTTGGTTTCATGTTTTAAACAGGAGAAATCCTGCAGCTGTGCTTTTTAACAAGCCCACGGGGGGCTTAGTTTGAGCCCGGACAGGGCGTCAGTTTCAATCCCCCCTATCCTTGCACTTGCGTTGGGAGCCGGCAACAGAGGGACAGTTTCAGTGGGGCGGCTACGGAGTTCTCAGGAAAAATGCTGCAAACATTTTGGGCCTGACGGACAGACAGGACTCTGAGGAAATGAAATGAAGGACTTGGGCCAATCTGGGAAATGGTTCTTTATCCATCCCGACTGGCATATGAAATGTTGACACTACTACTGAGAGAAGTTTTGTACCTTGTGACTTTTTTACTGAAATGGGATGTCATGAAGTAGCATATGAACTACTGATTGATGGACATGAGTTTGTATAGAGAGAAAAAAGCTGTTTACTTTTTTCCTGAACCATTTGTCAAAATACTTTTGTGTGCCTTTTTTACTATTGTCTTTTTAATCGTTTTTATTTATTTATTGAACACACTTTAGTATGGACGTGTTTTTTGTGTGTTTTTTTTTGTTATCCGAAAGCTCAAGCGCAAAATCCTTTTATATCTCAGACAAAGATAACAGTCTTCCTACTAGTATTGGGCAATAGAAGAAATCCAAACTAACTTAGACAAACAATTCCTGGACATACTCATCAAATACTAAAAACATGTTTTCCCATAATAAGAAATGCACATTCTGTCATCTTAATCCATGCACAAAATCTATGTTTCTATATGGAAATTAAATGTACACAATGTACACATTCATGTTACATGTCTAGATTGTCAGAACTCACTGTAGACAAATAGATGCTCACTCTAACTCCAAAAAACAGTTATACAACCTTAGTCCATTTCTGACATCTAACCTGCTTCCTCACATTCTCCTTGAATTATCCCCCCTCCACTACCCTCATGGATCAAATCCTGATATCGTTCAGACTCCAAACAAATGTCAACAGAATAGACAGAAATAGCACTTGGTAGCCAAAGCAAAGTTTCTCATCACATGGAGTTGGAAGGCTATTTCCAGCTCCCTTTCGAGGTATCCTGCTGTTGTCTATTAGACCAAAGATTCCAGAACCTAACTGCTTCTGATGATGTAACAATCTAACTAAGGAAGGACCCCCTGTCCATGTAGAATAAGGACCAGTACACATGATGAAAGGTGGCCTGGCGGCTGCATGTCTAGAAGTCCAGTCACACCTTGGTCAGCTGTATTATAATTATCCACATGGTTTATACAGTTCAGCTATTTCTTCATCCACCTAATAAAACAGAATGAAGTGCTACTTCTGCCCATTGAAGTCAGTCTTCCCTTCCCACTAACTGTATCACATTTCCTGGCCGGGCCGGGGAGTTAATCAGGATTTGGTCCGTTAGATGTAATCCTCAGAATAGATTCGGCACGTACAAACTGTTGAGTGTCTGCTGCAAAAACCAAACCAGAGGAGAAAAAGACTTATTCCTGAGAACAAGAAGATGATAACCTACATTAGTAGGCTATCTAGAGATTATGTGAAAGAGATACCAAACCAAAAGGCCCCCGGACAGTGTAGTTCACTGTCACTGTGGGTCAGCATTAAGACCGTCAACCCCAGGCAGTCTGCAAGGCAGATTGTCCCTTACAGGCCTCCATGACTGGTTTTCATGATGGCTTATTCAGGATCTATGACCTATTCTCCATTATTCACTTAGGTTTGCTGACATACTCAAAGGTACTTCAACTACCTTATTGTCTATACCCCCACTCACTCCAGCAGGCTTACATGGTAATCGTGTGTGTCGATGAGCGTGTGTGTGTGAATGTCATAAAGTGTGTGTGTGAGAGTACGTGTGTGTGCATGTTGGTCTTTGTCACCTAGGCATGACTCCTCTTACTGTCTGTCACTAGAGCTCAAGCTGGTCCGTTGCTGTTTATAACAGTGTATTTATTACATTCAGCTGTACTGTACATAAGAATACTGTTTCAGTCAGTGTAAATCTATTTTAATTTATATGCACTTGCATTACCTGGAAGTGGTGGTGTCTAACATGTACAAGGCTCTGCGTCGGAGTCTTTCTATATTCTGTATTATAATATTGTTTCGTTTTTTTATATTATATAATAAGTAAATATATATTCGCACAAATGTTTGAGTGCCCTGAGCAGCAGCTAAAGAGACGTATTCGCAACCTGTAGGTTTACAACGCATAGAGGACATGTTAAACAACAGAGACCTGGGTAGAACTATGATACAGGCCCGCTGTGGAGAACACAAGCTTTTATACTGTAGTCTAGTAGTCTATCACTATGCTTGGTATCAATACCAAATCCACACCAAGATGTTCTCCTCTCAGCAGCTTGTAATAGTGACTAAACCAGGCTCCTCTGTGCAACATTTTGAATGCAGATTGCTGATTTGGGTTTCAGATCTACTGGTTCGACAGAAGTAAGGAATAGCAACAGAAAGACAGACAAACAGAACCAAGCGTCTGTTCCTTTACACGTCCTTCCATGTTAAAGTAGTTCAAGGGGATTATTGGTGGCATGCTACAATATCTCTGAGCACCAACGTGATGAATCGTTACAAAAATGTGATCTTCTTGTAATTGATCGTGCTATTGTGAACTATTTTGATTTGACCAAAACTTGTTAGCAGTTTTGAAATTCAAATTTGTCACCAGTATAACATTGTTAATCTATGTTAAACATTTTGGTCCGACTTGTGTCCAAATGGTTAGCCAAGCTTGGCGCTATCTGCATGAGAGATGTTATTATTATTATTTTTTTACATGTCTTTTGAATACCTACCTAACGCGTTACAGTCGCAGCGGACATATTAAATGTTTCACACAATGTATGGTATAATATTGTATATTGTGTTAAAATATCTGAAAATCTGAAAATACTTTTTCTATGAAGTGATTAAAAAACAAAGCATGAATATCTCTGTCTCTGTGTCCTTATTTCACAGTGATAGCAGCAGCTCAATCATCACACTGGATATGTTTTAATGTGGCGAGACAAGCACTCGCTGTGACATCCCCCCTGGTCCTAACATGGCATAAGGCCCACAGTGACACTCGCTGTGACATCCCCCCTGGTCCTAACATGGCATGAGGCCTACAGTGACACTCGCTGTGACATCCCCCCTGGTCCTAACATGGCATAAGGCCCACAGTGACACTCGCTGTGACATCCCCCCTGGTCCTAACATGGCATGAGGCCTACAGTGACACTCGCTGTGACATCCCCCTGGTCCTAACATGGCATGAGGCCCACAGTGACACTCGCTGTGACATCCCCCTGGTCCCTAACATGGCATGAGGCCCACAGTGACACTCGCTGTGACATCCCCCCTGGTCCTAACATGGCATGAGGCCCACAGTGGCACTCGCTGTGACATCCCCCCTGGTCCTAACATGGCATAAGGCCCACAGTGACACTCGCTGTGACATCCCCCCTGGTCCTAACATGGCATAAGGCCCACAGTGACACTCGCTGTGACATCCCCCCTGGTCCTAACATGGCATGAGGCCCACAGTGGCACTCGCTGTAGGAAACCAGGCAGTTCTCTTCATATTCCATGGTTCAAAGATTTGTAGAGTTTTATTGGTAGAGGCTGTCTCAGTTCTTGAAAGCCTCAGCCTTTCCTCAAGCACTTCAGTGTACACACACACACACACACACTGCCCTTGCAACCTCCCCTGACCTCGCTCTTTGGATGAATCTTCAAAGAGGATAATCATATCAATGGTCTGTGTTGACAATACTTTCCCATGGCCTTGTCTGCCCCCCTGACCTGCACCATGGCCTTGTCTGCCCCCATGACCTGCACCATGGCCTTGTCTGCCCCCCTGACCTGCACCATGGCCTTGTCTGCCCCCATAACCTGCACCATGGCCTCAAAGAACACAGAGATAAAGATACTGGTATCTAATTTGATAAATTGACCTATGCACACAGATGATGGAGAGACTGACATAAAATGCCAGATGTCTCCCTTCACACAGAGAGAGAAGACGTTTACAGTGATGAGAGTTATTTAATAAGACAAAAAATACCCAGAATGGTTCCCAGCAGCAGATTGATGTAAAATAGACCATCACCCTCTCCCCAGTGGCCAGGGGAGAACATTTTAGATCTTTTTTTAGCAAGAACAGGAAATGGTGACGAGGATCAAGCTTATCTCTCAGTGGGACTCTTTGGGTGTGTGTGTCTCAGTGGGAGTCTTTGGGTGTGTGTGTCAGTGGGAGTCTTTGGGTGTGTGTGTATGCATGATTTCTTTGTTGATCATTTACTTTAAATAATGAAAAACAGAGGATGAACAGATCTTATTCAGTTAGCATATATAGCTAGCTTATACAAAGTATAGACGTCAATAGAGTACAGTACTGTACATTCCTTTGACTCTTTATAACTTATTGCCTAAGCTCATGCATTTCCTTACACACATGTCCACTTGTATTTTTGGTTCTATGTGCATCAACTGATCATGGTTAGTTTAGTTTTGATCTCCACCCCCAGATGTGGTGTGTGTTTGTAGTAGGAACATAGTGTTTGACAGTGAGAGTGGTGTGTGTTTGTAGTAGGAACATAGTGTTTGACAGTGAGAGTGTGTGTGTTTGTGTATGTGTGTGTGTGTGTGCTTCTGCAGGGCCTCTGACGTCAATGTTGCCCTGAGAGGCCCAAATTAAACCCGGTCGTCGCATTGGTCATGTGCAAAATCCGAAACAGGTGGGTGACAGAGGCCCCGCAGCTGAAGTGTTAGGGGTCGCTTGCCCCAAGCAGCAGGTCAGGAGGTTAATCTCTGCCCCCCCCCCATCTCCCTCTAACCCCCTTCCTCCTCTCTCTGTGGGAGAATCTCAATTGTATGCTCCTCTCTCCTCGCCTCCTTCTCAAAACCCATTGGAGGAGAATGTCAGAGGGGAGGGACCTCTGGTGTTCTCCTCCAATGGGTTTTGAGAAGGAGGTGAGGAGAGAGGGAGCGAGGAATATGCAATTGAGATTCTCCCCATGACCTCTTGAAAGGCCCCAGTCCCTGCATCATCATAGCTTTATGGTTCTCGGCCATGTTTTAAAGACAATAGTGAGGCTGGGGGCCAGCAGGATCAAATGCTGCATTCACACGTTTTCCTGGTAGAGGGCAAAGTGATGCTGATGCTCTACCTCCTCCTTCTCTTCCTCAACCCTTCACCTCCTCTTCTTCATCTTCCTCCTCCTTCTCCTGTCCTTCTACTCCTTGTTCCCCATCTCCTCCCAGCCCCGGGGGGGCAAAAAGAAACCAATAACCGCCGGGCCCCTAACGGCAAGCATCTTCCTTCGCCTCATCTATTCTCCTCTTCCTTCTCTTCTCTCTTCACCCTTTCCTCCTCTCCCCTCTTCATCCCTTATTCCTCCGTCTCCTCCTCCTTCTCTTCCTCCTCCTCTTCCTCCTATTCCCCTTCCTCCACCTCCTCTTCCTCCTCCTCCTCCTCCTCCTCTTCTTCCTTCGCTCCTCTTCTACCTCCTCCTTCTCCTCCTCCTCTTCCTCCTCCTTAATACCACATAATGGGACCCATCTCGTCCAAAAGGTTGACTCAAGTTTGCCAAAAAGCACCTGGAAGCACCTGGATGATCATCAAGACTCTTGGAAGAATGTTCTATGGACAGATTAGTAAAAAGTATAACTTTTTGGACGACATGGGTCCCATTATGCCTGGCGAAAACCAAACACTCCATTCCACAATAAGAGCCATATACCAATGGTCAAGCATGGTGGTGGTAGTCTGATGGTTTGGGGATGCTTTGCTGCCTCAGGATCTGGACGACTTGCCTTAATAGAAGGAACCATGAATTCTGCTCTGTATCAGAGAGCTGAAGCTGAAGCGCATCTGTGTCATGCAGCAAGACAATGATCCAAAACATACAATCAAGTCTACATGAAAATGGCTAAAAAGCAACAAATTTGAAGTTTTGGAATGGCCAGGTCAAAGTCCAGACCTAATCCCAATTGAGATGTTGTGGCAGACTTGAAACGAGCAGTTTATGTTTGAAAACCCAGAAATGTAGCTGAGTTAAAGCAGTTCTGCATGGGCCAAGAGTGGGCCAAAATTCATCCACAGAGACATGAGAGACTGATCAACAACTACAGGAAGTGTTTGGTTGGAGTCATTGCAGCTAAAGGTGGCACAACCAGTTATTGAGTGTAAGGGGGAAATTACTTTTTCACACGGGCATTGGGTGTTGCATACATTTGTTTATGAAATAAATTAAATACGTATGTAATTGTTGTGTTATTTGTTCACTCAGGTTCCCTTTATCTAATATTAGGTTTTGGTTGAAGTTCTGATAACATTCAGTATCAAAAATATGCAAAAGTAGAGAAAATTAGAAAGGGGGCAAATACTTTTTCAGAGCAATGTAGCTCTATTTTTTGAGCGTGCAAACATAGACAACACACCCAAACATGTCGCTGCTGCTGTGTTTCAGTTCGTTGAGATGAAGTTATATTCCATTTTTCACAGTGTCTAGTTGCCTCCTTTTATGTGAATGATGCACGGCACAGTGCTGCAGAATAACACTGAATAACTGTAAGACTCCCCCTCCCCTCCTCCACCTCCTAAGCATCTACTGTTTATGGGGACTGGGTCTATACCTCATGCAGTTGAGTTAT